GTTGGATCTGCCCTCAAAATTAGGCAAAAGAATCTTACATTTAGTGAGAAAGAACATATTTTTGTCTTATTGGCACATTCATAAGTTGGCACCGGGCCGTAGCGGTGAACACTGTACGGTGATTCTTAATTTCTCGATTTTAATACATTAACAGCGCGTTTTCTTCTGTGTTGAGGCATCATTCAAGTTAGCGTTTCCTGCTTCTCACAGGAGTCGTCTGCCAAGCTTCAATCCTCAACTTGAACCGCAATCAGTAATTTTCTCTCTTTGATTCCTTCTTTTTGCTATGCTTTACAATTTGATTATGTGAATTGATTTTCATTTTCGTTTGTTACTTCAGCTCCTGCCTCTGCACAATTATTCATTCTCTACTTAGACAGATTCATGATTGATCCATCTCTGAAGTTGCACACGATGCAAAACAAAGCGTATAGAAAAATATAACTACTTCGGTTTCATTTTTGTTTATTAGTGTGCAAAAGTTTAACGCTTAGCAGATTAAACAGCTTCAACCTTTGGTTTTATATAAGATGGATATTGTAATCGGCTTCACATGCTAAGCAACATGTTAGGCTGCTGTTTCGGCATTGTTCAATGGAGCCGAGTAAATAGACGTTATTACTTTTTTTTTTTGGGTATTAATTTATTAATTAGCTTAGAGAAGACTACAGCATCAACAACCCATTTATTTATTTGTGCTCAGAATTGGACGGCGGTACAGCTACATGGAAAGACAGACAGAAAAATGAAAAGAAAAACATCAATTACACGCGGATTTGAATAGTCCATAAGAACAACATTATTTAGATGTGAATCAGATTATTTTAAAACACTTATTCCACAGTTCCAAGTTGCATCTGTCATCAAAATTGGGCAAAAGAATCTTAAATTTAGTGAGAAAGAACACATTTTTGTCTTATTGGCCCATTGATTAGTTGGCACCGGGGCGTAGCGGGGAACACTATATGGTGATTCTTAATGTCTCCATTTTAATTTATTAACAGCGCGTTTTCTTCTGTGTTGAGGCACCATTCAAGTCAGCGTTTTCTGCTTCTCACCGGAGACGTCCGCCATGCTTCGATCCTCAACTTGAAAACGCGCAATCAGTAATTTTCTCTCTTTGAATCCTTCTTTTCGCCATGCTTTGCAATTTGATTATGCGAATCGATTTTCATCCTCGTTTGTTACTTCAGCTCCTGCCTCTGCACAATTATTCATTCTCTACTTTTAACTTGGACAGATTCGAGATCGATCCATCTCTGAAGTTGCGCTGCGCATAATAATCTTCATTCTTTGATTACTATGTTCTATCAAACTGCATGCATATTGAGGAAATGTAGATGATTGAAAAAGTAGATAACTGCGTACAAGTAAAAGTAGATTAGATTTATTGACGAAAACTCAAGCCCCAAACTTGTCAAAAGGTCGTGCTCTTAAAATAAAAGCCAATAAGCTTGTTTCAATATGTGAAACTATTGCCTAGGTATCTTCCCAAGGGATAACCATGTTTCAAACTGTGGAACTGTTTTTAATTATTTTACTTTGGCTCAGCATATATTGCCTATATGCAGCAAGAGTAATAATGGAAAGGGTTGGTGGAAGGCCAAGGATGATGTGTGGCAACACGTTGAGCTATTGGAGGGAGGACGAAGAGTGAAGTGCAAATATTGTGGCTGGGAATTTGCAGCGAGTGCCAACAGAATCAAATCTCATATTAATAAGGACAAGGGCAAAGGCATTCGAGTCTTTCAGACAAAGGAAGCTTCAATGATCACAGAGACAACCTCCTACATTCTCAACAAGGTTACGTGATTATATATTATTATATGCTCCCTCCCATCTTTTTTATCTCTGATGATGCAGAGGGGATTTCTTATTTTTGTTTCTTTTCCCCTTAAGATATCATATGTGACATTTATTACATTGCTCCCACATTGCCGTTATTCAATGTTGACTCAATTTTTTGAAGTTACATTATATGGGTTTAAATGAAGATAAAATTAATTAGATGATCCTTTACTTTTAAGACAGGTGAAGAGTTTTTAACTCTTCCCTTACTTCTGGTAGATTTTTTTCTATAAGTCATGCGCAGAGATTTTTTTTCTTCCGGTTTTTCCTTATAAAAAAAAAATCTCATTGGACGGTGTAATAGATTATAGCATGCCCAATAAAGCAGGACAAATCCAAGCGAAAGCTAACTATCAGGAAAGGACTCAAGATGGGTCATCTTCTGTTTCCGATAGGGAGAATGAAGACTTGCAGGTCATACAATATGTGTTTGAATGCTTAAGGTTAGATTCATACCTCCCATTATGTATATATGCTTCTAATATGTATATATGAATATATTTTATTTTTTGTTTTCTTTTTTTAAATAAATCTAATTCTTCTGGTAAAAAAATCAATCTAATTCTATTTTTCCTGATAAGTGTATAATTTTAATTAATTCTTCAGTCCTGAAGATAAGGTTTTTGGTTCCCCACTTTCATACTTGACTCAAGAAGAATTTGCCACGCTTAGACCATGGACTTTTTTGGATTCATTGGTGAGTATTTATTTATTATATTTTTATATTCTATTTTAATATTAATGACAAAGGTTTTATTTATATTAATAATGTTCAGTTTCATGCATCCTTAAGTAATAGATATTTTTGCAGAGATGTTAACCCATATTGAGCGAAAGAAGAAAATTACACCTTTGAATTGGTATCTTCCTGTGACATTTTCGGTGATTTCCTATTCCCTTTTTTGTTACATGATGCATGTCAATAGTTGTTTAATCTAAAACTAGTTCATTGACAATAACTCTTAACGGTTCATCCGTAATGTAATCATAGGAGGCAGCACTCAAAGGCAGCATAGGTTGCTTCTTGGACTTTGTCCATCGCCAAAAAATAAGAGAGAATTATATGTCTGACCTGGAATCCTGTGAGAAGGTATTTCATTCTTTTCAACTCTTTATAGAAAAGTTTCTTTGTCAACCCGATTACCTTTTTTTTCCTACTATATATATCAATTTAATTTTTGTTATCACAAATGTTATATATTTATTCCTGTTCACATTGGAGCAAAGTCAAATGGTGGACATTTTTATTTATATGTTATCCATTTAAAGAATAAAGAGATTGAAGTATGGGATTCTCTCCTCAATACATGTGTGACTGAAACAGAATGTGATGAGACAACCAAAAAATTGGTGAGTGTCAGATAATTGCAATATTCACAACATTAATCGATCAATTATGCTTTTGATTTTATAGAATTTCTGCTTTATATCCAGTTGCTTGCGGTGGAAAAACTCTTCGTGAACGTAGCGTTTACGGAATTTTGTTTGAAGATGGAAACGGACATACTCCTACAGCCCAACGGGTGACTTATCATATATATATATATATATATATAAACTTTAATGGAAAATTTTATATCATGACCTTATCATATATATATATATATATATATATATTAATTTGCAGATTTGATTGCGGTATCTTTGTTATGAAGTTTATGGAACAATCATATAATTATGTGAAGAGAAATAATTCATTTCAGGTATGACTTCTTACAAACATGTAGTCATAGATTCATACCTAAACACTCACACATGCCCACACATAGTCCTACACGAGCACGCAAGTACTCTCTTTTACCCTATGAGGGAAATGGAGGGAAAGGGGGAAAATTTTTAATGAGGTCGATTTAAAAAAAATTGAAGAAATGGGATTTTAAAATTTTAATAAAGAGAATATGTAAAATAACAAGAGTATTAAAAATTAATTGAAAACTTTTAACCCCATTTTTTCAATTTTTTAAATCGGCCTCATTAAAATTTTTTCTCTCCTTTCCTGCTCTCCATTTTTTTCATCCCAAACAGACCCTTGGTCATATAAATGATACGGACAACTATGTAGTTTGACAGTGAAAAAGAAAGGAAGGATTTGGCTTTGAAGTTACTCAACAGTGACCTGAACCAAGAAAAGCAAAATCTATATGACAAAGCAAGATGGCACCATGCACAAGTTGAACAGCAAAATGGCAATAAAAGATGACGAGTTGACAGAGTGAATAGACAAGATCGTTTAGAAGAAGGTATGAGTATCAGCATACAGAATTTATATCCAACTCCATTTATTTGTCATTTATGAATTTGTTGAAGTTTTTAAACTCTTAAAAATTTTCATAACTCTTTTTTTGGCCAAAAAAATTGTCATAACTTCAAAAAATTACTCTCATCAAATTGTAACCTTCTCTCATATTTTCCTCTTGGCCACTCTCGTCTCCATAACTTTTTGATTATTTAACGAGGAACAGGTGCGGAAAAATATTTAATGCCGCCTAAATTTTTTTGGTGACTTACATTTTGAATCCTTGAAATCATCCAAAATGTGATTTCCGCATAGGGACGGACAGAGTATATATACGACTGCTTAAAATTTGAATGCCATATTATCTAATTTAATTTTTTTTTTTACTTTTCTCACTATCTTTACTTTATTATTTATTACTATTTTTGCTGCTAGGATCTTCCAAAGATTATATATTTCCTACAATAGTTCTGGCAGGGTGGAAGTGTCAAAGGTATACTGATCAAATATGGGAGTGGATAATGGATGACAAGGTGTCAGCAATTGGCGTTTGGGGAAGAGGGGGTTCAGGAAAAACAGCCTTAGCAACCCATATTCATGACAAGCTTTTAGAAGAAGCCAATGGCGACATTAAAGTTATTTGGATGACTGTATCACAAAATATCAACACCTACAAGTTGCAAAAAGTCATAGCTAAATCAATTAAGTTAGATATATCTGATGAGCCTCGCCAAAGAATCGCCAGAAAATTATTTCAAGCATTGAAAGAGATGAAGAAGTGTGTTATTATGATGTTTGGGATCATTTCTCTCTAAAGGATCTTGGATTTCCTATGTCAGATAATTGAATTAAATTGATTTTGACCACTTGCATAAGGGAAGTGTGTCAAGGCATGGACTGTGAGAAGGTAATAAAAATGGAACCTTTAGATACACTAGATAGTTGGGCTTTGTTTGAAAAGTTTTTGGGATCCCATGAAGAATTGTCTTTGGAAGTGAAGGGCATTGCATACAAAGTGGCAGAGGAATGTGACGGTTTGCCCCTTGCTATTGTTAGAATCGCAACAAGCATGAAGGGGAAAACGCAGGCTAGAGAATGGAGTAATATGTTGGAATGTCTTGGAAACTTGGGCAATGGGCAATATCAAATGGACAAATGGGTATTTTCAGTTTCGAGATCTAGCTATGATTTCTTAACTAACAAATTGCAAAGATTCTTCTTGTATTGTGCCTTGAGTACCAATGGAAATTTTTATGGTGACGCTACCTATCATTTCATAAGAAGGTTTGTTTATGAAAGCATTGATGAGACAGAGAAGTTGAGGGTGCAGTATGTTAAAGGTCGCAACATGTTGTATAAATTAAAGAATCATAGCATGTTGCATAATATCCGGCTTGGTGGTCGTTGGATGATGGACAAATTCCTTAGAGTCCTGGCTATTGGTATTGCAGAAGAAACTGGTAAAATTATGAGAAAAGCTTATGAGGATTTAACAGAAATACCAAGTGATGACCAGTGGAAAGAAGATCTACAAAAAAATTTTCTGACGGGGAATGAGATACAAACAATTCCAGATAGCACATATCCTAGGTGTTCTCAACTTTCTACATTGCTTTTGAATCACAACGCAAAACTCAACTATATCTCAAATGATTTTTTTAACAACATGCCTACTCTTAAAACACTGGACTTGTCTAACACTGGAATCAAGCGTTTGCCCAGATCGGTGTCTAGCTTGGAATGTCTCACCACATTGTTGCTTTCAAGATGTAGAAAATTGAGTTTCATTCCATCATTAAGAAAATTGAAACGGTTAATATCACTGGATCTATTTTTTACTGCCATCACTGAAGCACCTGTAGGCTTGGAATCATTGGTCAATCTAAGGTACCTGAATCTGATCCGTACAGATAAGCTGGTAATGTCAATATCGCTCGTATCCAAATTGATCAATTTAGAGCATCTTGAGCTAGGTGGTCCCCTATACAAAATAGATGTCACAGTACAAGTTACACAAAGTTTGAAAAAGTTGAAGTTATAGTGGCCCATTTTCGTGACGTTAGCGTTTTCAATACATTTGTGAGCTTCCTGGCCCATAATTGTGCAACCAGAAGCTATCGTTTAACTTTACGGGATAGAAGTTACGATCTTGGCCCAAGTGATGTTCTTTGCCGTGAAAATAATATCATAATATATCCCATTAAAATTGTGGTTATTGAGAATGTGGTTTTGAGAAATGAAAAAGTAATACTCCCTGTAGACACGGAGGAGTTGGATATGACGCATTGCCAGCAAGGGACAGGTGCTAGATCCCTATGCAGTGTTCCATCATATGGCCACAACAATAATCCACACCAAATTAAACTGTTGGATATCATGGATTGTGCAGATTTCGATTACTTGTGTTGTAGCAGTTGCCCCTTTTGCTCCTCCTCCCTACATGTTCAAACTCTAGAGCTCTCGGGTTTACGGGTGATGAGAGTTTTTGTCGTTCGTCTTGGGGTTTCCAATAAAAAATAAATCCAAACAATCCAACATAGTGCAAAACTTGAGTCGTTTCACTTTGAGGAGCATTTATTTAAAATCCTAAACAAACTAAGTATCAAAAATAAAGAATTGACTTGAAAAGGAATTGATTTTCTTTTTAACTGACTAATTGGCAAAATTTAAAAGGATGCAAAATGAGTAAATAATTTTTGAATTTTTAGTTTATAAAATGGATATGAATAAAATAAGTAAAGTGAATAAACAAGTGACAGCAAATAGAAAAGCAATCCTCTAGCACAATGATTAAGGCTATCATTACTTGAATTAATTTGAGAGTTAGCTAAATTCAAAAGACTCTAAGGGCCACCCCTTAGACTCGGTTTAATTAGAATAATCAACACCAAGCCACCTTGCATATTAATTACTCACAACTAAACTGTTTCAGCACAATTAGCCAAAAAGAATCAAAGAAAAGCAATTAACATTTTTAGTCCAATAACCAAGTCACCTTGAATTACCACTGAATATTCACAATAATTTCAAAACATAGTCTGACCCAGTACAATGTAAAGAAATTAAAACTAATCACAGCATAATGTTAAATGCTAATCAAAGATTCCAGCAGCTACAACTAATCTCAATACAAATATAAATCATCACAACACATTCAAACATTATAAAATTCATTCTAAAACCTAGAAATCATAGTTACAATAAAAGAAATAAAGACTGGAAGAGCTGAAACTCCCTTTTGAAGCTCCAAGTTCAAGTCATAAATACTGTGCTAGAGAACTGAAGGATTTAACTAAGCCCTGCATCAGTAAAGCTCCACCGTTCTGTCTCTGTTTGCCGCCACTCCTCTGGTTCTGTTACGCAACGTGGAGAGGAAGAAGATGCAGTTGACGGTGGCAATGGAGGCACGAGCAGAGGCAACAGAACAGAGGAGCTCGCCGTCACTCGTGACCACGTCCTCTGGTCCTGTTCACGCCGCTCTCCTCTGGTTCTGGACGCTCGTTTTGCCGTCGCTCTGTTTTCTCCCTCTCTCAGCCGCCATCCGTGTCTGCCACCAGGAAGAAGCCGTGGAGAAGAAAGAAGAACAGATGCTGTCGGTGGAAGATGAAGACTCAGGGGAGAGGAAGTGTGATTGCCGTGAAACTTTGGTCCTTCGTTCTCTCTTCCTCGCCGCTGGTCTTCATCGTCGTTAGCTCGCTCCACTCTGTTTTTGTTTCCTGCCGCCAGCTCCCTCGCGTCCCGGATGAAGAAGATGAATATTGGATATTAGGGGTGGAGCAAAACGCAGCGTTTTGCTCCCCCCTTTTATTATTTTATTTTTTTCATTTTTTTAATTTTTTTTTTAATTTTTTTTTATTTTCAAAATCTTCTAAAAACCTGCAAGCAAAAATTCAAAGATAAGGTAACATTAATTATCCTCAAAAATCAATTAGTCACAATTAAACCAAAATATGACAATTTTGCCCCTATAAAATAATAATTCAAAATAAAACATATTAAATCAATTAATCAATCAATTAAAGTCAAAAGGGACTAATTAAGTTGATAAAACCAATATAAAAGATATCAAAATATATAAAAATAATTGAGTTTGTCAACTCCCCTACACTTAGCCTTTTGCACTCTTGGGTAAAACATCATTAAAGAAGAATCTAATAGAAACACTCAACGCAAGCAAACATAAAACTAACTAAGCATGAATGTGCAATTAACTCAAGCAACCTTTATTCCTAATCAATCAACAATTGTAGAATACTTCAATGCAAAGAAATTAACACTTGAAACATAACAGGATAAAAGAAAAGAAACATACTAGAGCTCACATAGGGTACAAGTGTTTCACTAATCTCTCAAATAGGAAAAATTTCACTCAATCCACCTAGATTAGCAGCTACCATAAGCTTGTAGAAATTCTAATATCTCCATCACTAACATACCTTAGACTCATGATCAAGGGGACTTGAAGGGCTGTAATGTTGGAAAGCAAGGTCAAATGAATGAAATGAACTAGCAAGTGAAATGCATGAGTAATAAAGTATCAACTCAAAGTGAGTTTAAGTACAATCATAAAAGAACACCAAAGTGCAGATTTTAAACTTTTGAAACAGAAATTCTTGCTTTTCAAACCACCATTGAATGCCTTATTTCAAATTTATTCTTTTGTTGCAACTTTTTTTTTTTAACTTTCTCTCTTTGGCTTTTTCTAAACATTTTCTTCTCTTTATTGCCTTTTTCTATCTCTCTTTTTTTTTGCTTTTTTTTTTCTTTTTCTTTGGCATCCAAACCCAAGAAGGCAAAGATGTAGACATTAATGATGTACTTTTCAAAATGAAAAACCAAACGTAACTCATGCAAAACACTTGCTAAAAAGCAATGAATGGAATGAAAGTGAAGGCTCAAAGGGGTGAACAAAGGTTAAATGAAGTGGTTTGTGTTTGGGTAAAGGTTTAGAAATGAATGCCACTATCATCTTCACAAACCTAGGTATTAATGTAGTTTTGAAAAAGAATCTAGACAAGTTCTAGAGGTTAACCAAAACTAGATGAAAATCACACAAGATGAGAAAATATATGGCTTAACAATCCTTCCATCAAGGCTTTCTCTAAGATGTTTTCTCTTTAAGGATCAAGCTATGAAACAAGGCTAATAACACTGCACTAAAGGCATTCTACTATGCTAATCAACTAAGAACAGAAATCACTCAATTCAAATGCAATCAAACTTAGCAGTGCAACATTCACAAACATTGTGCAAAAAGATTTTAAAAGAGATGCCCAAGGATTACAAAAGTCAAGTCAGCTACAGAGAAAATATCAACTCGCCCATACAGCAGTGCAGAACACTGAGGCGAATGAAAACAGGAGGACACAGAAACCAACAACAAAATTCCTAAGCAAGAATTACTCTCAAATCATGCGATGCAATTCAGAAATCAACCAATAAGGCAAAGAAGAGAGCAATTATAGCAGCAATACTTAGGAAACAGGAGCAAATCCAAAGGCAAATTTTTTTTTTTTGAAAACAAATTCTAACAAAACATAACACTCACTCCCCCACACTTAATCCTTGCATTGTCCTCAATGCAAGCTTAGACTAAATATATGAACAATTGGAAGCTTAAAATGTGCAAGGACAAGGTAGGAAAAGTACTGCATGCAACTAATAACAAACAATAAAACAAAACACAAACACCTTTTTACTACTGGCTATGTCCCTCCCCTACACTTATCTCACAAAACAAGCAAGTAATTCAAAAGATAAGAGTTAAGGAAGGAAAGGGACAACCTTTAGAACGAAATCTCTTCAAACTCTTGTAGGAGAAGTTCTCATCCTGGATGAGAAACATATATCTCTTTAGTGTGCTCACTTCTCCATTGACATTTCTTGGTGGTGAGGGTTCCTGCAAGGGAAACACTGAACAAGCAGCAGTATCTAGTCCAAAAAGAAAAACTTGGAAAGATCTAGAGTAGCATAGGTATATTTGAGTGGCAAAATCTTCCAAGTAAATATCATACCCAAGAAAGTCAATAGGATTCCTTTCTATAGGAATCAAATAATTAGGAATATTTTCAAAAATGTCTTGTGTATGCAAAGCGGAAGATGAAGAATCCAACTAACAGTTGTTGGAGTACATCACATCACTTTTACTAACACAAGAGGTGGGTGAAAAAAGAGTGAAAGAAGAAGAAGATTCATGCAGAATATGATTATGCAATGCAATATTATTATTTACATAGCTACTTAAATCAGAAGGCAAGTCACAAGAAAGAATTAGATGAAAAGATTCATTCATATTTACAATTTTGTCTTTTAAAATTTTTGAATCTTTCCCTATTAACTCATTAGAAGCATGCAACTCAATGGGATTTTCAGAAAGATAATTTCCAAGGCTATGGTCAAATTCACATTTCTCCACAAGATTAACATCCAAGCAACTCATATGAATATCATGCTTTATATTGTCAGCACTTTTAATACTAGAAGGCGATGCGCACAGTTTACTAAAGTTCTGCTTTTGCGACCCAACAAGTATATCATACTTGTTATCAATGCAATCCATGCATATAGTGTGGGCATTGCAAGAACAAGATAGAGGTTCGTTCAAATCAGAATCAATTGCACCATCTAATCTAGCACTAGAAAGAGAAGCATGTTCTTCACACAAAGAAGTAATGACAGTGCAAGTAACATCATCAACTAAACAACTACTATTAGAAGTGTTCAAGTGAGAATTTTCATTTTTAAACATTTGAGGGGATTCAACTATGATTTCCTCATCCACCTCATCATCACTCACATCATCAATAACTTCAACAGGAATAGTAGTTGTAGCATAAGGATCAATCTCCTCAAGAAGAGGATCAATATTACCTGATGTAGGGCACAAGTCCTGATAAGTTTGTAGATGCTCTTGCTTCATCTCAGCTTCTTGTATGAGTAAATCTGGGCACTTTGGTTCATCCTTCCCATTCTTAGATTCAATTTGAGCTATATCACTCAAAATCTTCTCCAATGCACTCTTACATTCTCCTAACTCTTCCTCTAATTTCTTTGAGATTGCAGATATCTGTGCTTCTTCAAGTAATCCATGGTAGTATGAATTTAAGCGGTCATAAGCTTCTCTTAAAAATCGTATTTGGTCCTTCTTAGGAATAATAAGCAATGGGTCAGGTTTATTGGATTGATGTTCATGAGATTGGGAAAGAGAATAGTACTTGGATTGGGATGAGGGTTGGTGGTAGTATTCATATGGAAAAGGAGATGGTTCTTGGTGGTATGTATACGGTGGAAATATATGATTAAAGTATGGTTGGTGAGATGGGAGTGATAGGTTAGGTGATTGATGTGGAGGATGGTTCATCTAAGAAGAGTCATGGGTAGAGAGGCGATTAGGCATTTGAGACTCTAGGTGAGTTTGGAAGGAGTCTAACTGTTGTAACAACTCTTCAATCTCTTGAGAACATGTTGAATTAGAAGGTGCTTCATTCCATGTACTATTTCCTATAAAAAAGTGAGAATGCGAGGGTAGATTATGATTGCTATTAAACCAAGCCATGAGTCACACAATCAATTCCTAACAAAAGCCAATCTAAAGAAACTCAAAACAATTCTAAAAATCTAGAAAAATCAGAAAAATAACACAAAAACAGAAAAATCTGGAAAAATTCCAGAAAAGAAAGAAAATTAGAAAAAGTAGGGAAAACGTTTGAATTTGGCCAAAATTTGCTGGGGCTAATAACATTAGTCTTGCTTAAAATGCCCAAAATATTTAGAATACCAATTTTCAAAATTTTCTGGGTGAAAAATTTTTTTAGTTCCAGCAAACTGATTTTTTTTTTTTTGAGAACTCAGATTTTTGCCAAATTTTGGACGTAGATCCAACATTATGATGCAAAGACGTGCAAGTGTCTATATCTTTATGCAAAACAAAGAAAAATCAAAATATTTGGTTGTATTTTTGAAAAATTTTGATGCAAATGAAAGAAATGCTATGAAAAAAAAACAAATGCAAACTATTTAAAAATGTAAAAACTAAAACGCTCAAGGACCAAGTCAACCAAAATTTGACACTAAGTTACTAGGAAACCAATTTCTTGGCTCCCCGGCAATGGCGCCATTTGATGAGAGCCTTTGTCGTTCGCCTTGGGATTCCCAATCAAAAATAAATCCAAGCAATCCAATATAGTGCAAAACTCGAGTCGTTTCACTTTGAGGAGCCTTTATTTGAAATTCTAAGCAAATTAAGTATCAAAAATAAAGAATTGACTTGAAAAGGAATTGATTTTCTTTTTAACTGACTAATTGGCAAAATTTAAAAGGATGCAAAATGAGTAAATAATTTTTAGATTTTTAGTTTATAAAATGGATATGAATAAAATAAGTAAAGTGAATAAACAAGTGACAGCAAATAGAAAAGCAATCATCTAGCACAATGATTAAGGCTATCATTACTTGAATTAATTTGAGAGTTAGCTAAATTTAAAAGACTCTAAGGGCCACCCCTTAGACTCGGTTTAATTAGAATAATCAACACCAAGCCACCTTGCATATTAATTACTCACAACTAAACTATTTCAGCACAATTAGCCAAAAAGAATCAAGGAAAAACAATTAACATTTTTAGTCCAATAACTAAGCCACCTTGAATTACCACTGAATATTCACAATAATTTCAAAACATAGTCTGACCCAGTACAATGTAAAGAAATTAAAACTAATCACAGCATAATGTTAAATGCTAATCAAAGATTCCAGCAGCTACAACTAATCTCAATACAAATATAAATCATCACAACACATTCAAACATTATAAAATTCATTCTAAGACCTAGAAATCACAGTTACAATAAAAGAAATAAAGACCGGAAGAGCTGAAATTGAAGCTCCAAGTTCAAGTCATAAATACTGTGCTAGAGAACTGAAGGATTTAACTAAGCCCTGCATCAGTAAAGCTCCACCGTTCTGTCTCTGTTTGCCGCCACTCCTCTGGTTCTGTTACGCAACGTGGAGAGGAAGAAGATGCAGTTGACGGTGGCAATGGAGGCACGAGCAGAGGCAGCAGAACAGAGGAGCTCGCCGTCACTCGTGACCGCATCCTCTGGTCCTGTTCACGCCGCTCTCCTCTGGTTCTGGACGCTCGTTTTGCCGTCGCTCTGTTTTCTCCCTCTCTCAGCCGCCGTCCGTGTCTGCCACCAGGAAGAAGCCGTGGAGAAGAAAGAAGAACAGATGCTGTCGGTGGAAGATGAAGACTCAGGGGAGAGGAAGTGTGATTGCCGTGAAGCTTTGGTCCTTCGTTCTCTCTTCCTCGCCGCTGGTCTTCATCGTCGTTAGCTCGCTCCACTCTGTTTTTGTTTCCTGCCGCCAGCTCCCTCGCGTCCCGGATGAAGAAGATGAATACCCCCCTTTTATTATTTTATTTTTTTCTTTTTTTTTAATTTTTTTTAATTTTTTTTTATTTTCAAAATCTTCTAAAAACCTGCAAGCAAAAATTCAAAGATAAGGTAGCATTAATTATCCTCAAAAATCAATTAGTCACAATTAAATCAAAATATGACAATTTTACCCCTATAAAATAATAATTCAAAATAAAACATATTAAATCAATTAATCAATCAATTAAGGTCAAAAGGGACTAATTAAGTTGACAAAACCCATATAAAAGATATCAAAATATATAAAAACAATTGAATTTGTCAACGGGGCTTGAAAGATTTAGTGTCACCATATGCTGATTCCTTGCATCAATCCACCCTATTTTCTCACCTCACAGATCTCAATATTTGCGGGTGCGGTAGCATGGAGACTCTCATGGCGTTTAAGTTGTTAGCATTCCTCCATAACCTGTGCACCATTTGCGTTGGGAGGTGTGAGAAGATGAAAGGAATAGTTGGGGAAAAGCATTCTGTAATGGAACTAACTGGTGGCGACGACCTCATGGCCCTTCCGCATGACAACTTTTCTCACCCTACTATTGAGCTTCCCATGTTGACATTCCTGAAATTATATGGCATGCCACAATTAGATTTCGTATACAGAGGCATCATGCTCTGCCGTTCTCTCCGAACATTCTCTGCTATGCGGTGCGAGCGACTAAATCACCCTCATATAGTGAACTCAAATAATGGAAGTGCGCTTCTGATGGAGATAACCCCGGAGGGGTGCTATTGGCAAAAGTGATTAATCAGGTCCATATCTGCCCCCACTGTTTGACTTCATTTTATATTATGTTGATGATGAATATACTTCATGAGCTTCTCCTCCCTGATGGCAAACTGACGCAATTAGAATGCCTAAAATTAATTAATTATATTAGAGCCAAATAATCATATGTTACGAAGTCGAGTTGCAAAGTTGTTTGTGGCATGCCTCCCAATTATTCTAATTCTTTTTGGTAATGTAATGTGCAGGACATGGTTTTTGCTGTGTGTGACACTGAAGATGATGGGACCTGACATCCTTTAAGCCATCATTTAAGAATTACTTTTGATTCTATATTTATGTTGTGTTCTATATTTGTTCAATTACACTATTCAATCGGTACATTTATTTATGATGAAACTACGGTTTGTAATACAACTACTTGCTTATAGCAACAAAACTATTTTATTGGAAGAATGAGATGAAGACTTACTGAAGGGAATTATTTATATTGAACTCAAGTCAAATTACATAGGCAAATTTACATATGAACTCTGAACAAGGGACCTATTTATGAATAAAACCTTGCAAATTTTACTAACATGCTTTCAAGTATCTTAAAATTGGTTGTCCTCAGTTTCTGTTTGTCGGACAACATTTTGAAGAGTGATTTGCTTCTATTTATAAGACAAATTAGAAAATTTGAGAATTATTTAATTTTTTTATTAGTGACTTGAGGGGGAAAATGTGGCTCATTATAAAGGTTCATGTATCATTTTTTGAGCTAAAATAAAGGTTCATATATCATAATTACATTGATTCCGTCTTGTTCTCATCTATCACTTTACAAACTAACATACCTCTGCTGGAGGTTCATATGTGCACGCGTAGCTTTACAAGACAAATTTGAAAATTTGAGACTTATTTAATATTTTTTTATTAGTGACCTGAGTGAGAAAAAAAATTAATTTTGAAGTTAGAAACATATACGCTAGTAAGAAAAACATATAGAGGATGTGATGCGAAAATTAACTATAGAGGGTGCGTATAATATTTAAACTTGTACTCTCGAGTGGGTGCGCTAATAATTAACTGGAAAAATATATCTATAATATTTGACCAAAAAATCCTGTTTATTTTTATTGTTTTAAATAAAGTGATTTATTTTTGTACATTTTTATGTGTTATTTTGACATAATTTATTGTTATATTTGCAGTGAAACCATTTACTCAATTCTCATTTAGTTGTCAACGTTTTTCTCCAAGCGAAATCATTTAAATTTTATATGCATTAGATTGTAAATAATTTTCAACATTTCAAAAATAACTTATCTATTCTTCAAGACACTATATGTTAAGTATGAATGTCAGCCATACAATACAAATAAGTATTTCGTCATGTGACTCTGTTTCCAGCAGGCCTGCATTATCTTCATTTTATATAGTAAACCAAATTATTTAATTCAACATAAGTCAACATGTTGAAGACGACAAATCAATCAGACATCAAAAGGCAATATTGGGTTGTCATCAGTTCCTATTTTAGTAGCTGCCGGCACCATGAGAGACAGAGATCTTTCTTCTTATCGCATGCTAAATGATTTCTACAGTGTACATATATATGGCCATTGCTTGCTTGTGAAGTCGTAGGGAGTTAAGCTTGTGAATTGAAGGAAGAGAGATTTGAGATTGCAGCAGAGAGAAGGGAGATGGAAGGAAGTAAAGGTGGTGAAGTGAGAAGGATTCACATAGTGTACTTCCTTAGTTTGATGGGTCGTTCTGAAGAACCTCATCTCATACGTATTCATCATCTAGCTCGTAACGGAGTCCATCTTCGAGGTGGCTTCATTTTCCTGTTTCTTTCACCGCATATTTGTTAGACTTAAGCAAGTTGCTCTCACTTTTGACCTCTGCACTTGGTACTTTGTTTCTCACTTGCACATGTCATAATTTGTTGATTCTCACCTCTAATGTTATATGCTTCTCTTTTCTGTCTTTTAATACTCTGTTTCTTTAAGATTTTAGAGTTGTCTTTAAAACATGAAAAACCACATTATTTAGTTAAAACAAAGGGATAACAATTACGGTTTATGTGATGGTTGTTTTACAAATTACAAGCTCCTCTGTCTTTCTGTGTAGTGCCCTATTCTCGCTTTTAGAGATCATGATTTATGAACTTTGTTTATGTGATAAAAGATGTGAAGAGATGGATTGGAGAAGTGAGAGGGAAAGATTTGACAGAGACATACGCATGGTCCTACAAGAGGTAGAATGATGGGATCTTTATACTCTGTTTTTCATTTGTTTGAATGAGTTGAAGTGTGTCATTTGTGGATTCAAATTTTAAGCAGGAGATACAAGACAGGTTACGTGTGGCAAGACTTGTTAGATGATGATCTCATTACTCCAATCTCTGATAATGAATACGTCCTTAAAGGATCTCAAACGCACCCTCCCTCTTTTGGAATGTCCTTCAAATGAAATAGTGGAGTGTTGTCATTTGGTAATATTTTTCAAAACGAGATATGTAAGTATTTGTTGAGAAGCCTCTTTGATTATGCAGAAACTTTTATATTTGGTGAAAGGAAAGCTTCCATGTTGAACAAGGAGATTCATGTTCAAGTACATGATACAGAAGGCAAACAGTTGAAGCAGAAGCAACCATTGATACCAGAAGAACTTCAACATGAAAGATTTCCATACTTGAAACCAACTTCTCAGGATCAGCTATCATCAGAAATAAGCTCTGATAGGTCCATGTTAGCAGATGAAAGTGAATCTTGTAAAGTTGAACCAGACAAACTTGTGGACACAGGCAACGCAACCCAGAGACATCATTTTCAATTTCATTATCATCATCTTCTTCTTCTTCATTATCTCCCTTGAAAGGAAGTAAGAGATTTTCAACAGGAGCTTCTGGTTTGTTTCACAACTTGATCACCTGTGGAGCCTTAGATCCAAACGACGACGTTGTGGTCAGGCTGAACCAAGCTCATAAAACTGTTTCTAAGAACTCTAACACCCTCGATGATGGTAATGTTAGCGCACAGATTCGCAAACATGATAGATTTGGAGGATCAACTAGGAATCTTGGAAGCTGTTGGAATCCCCAGCAGGAGCATCATGAAGCCAGGTAAGTAAATGAGAAATTGGGCCCAGAATATTTCAAGCTACAAATTATGACAAAAATCGAAGTTTTTCTTCATAACATGAGCTTTCATATTTGCAGAAAAAGCTGTGATGAGAAGAGCACAAACAAGAACAAGAAGAAGCTAGGCGACTTTCTGAATCAGATTTCTCACAAACCATTTGGAGGGTCAATTTTCTCTAGATGAGAGGAGGCAGAAAATACAAGAAAATACGTTGTAGGGAAGAAAAACAGGGCATGTTTGGAACCAAAAAGCCCATCAGGGTCAAAAATCCATTTTATTGGACTATTCTATACAGATTGCAAGTTCCGTGTAGTCATGCAAGTTGGGGAAAAAAATGTCGAAATGATAATTCTTTTTGACTTCATCAGATTCCACGAGCACTATCCAAATTAATGATTTATTTCACGTTATATGTTACTTGTTAATTAAACTAAATTGAGAATTTCAATCTATCTTCGACCTCTACTTTTGATTTGTAGCTACAATTCTTCTGCCCGCCACCAATTTGGGGCTGGCCTTTTTAAAAAAAATTAAAATTAAATTCCAGTCATAATCTAAAATTTCATAACCTATATTAATTAATTCAGCCTTTAAAAATCATTATATATACTATACTTGTAGTCTTGTGGTCAAACCTTTTTTTTAAAAAAGGAATTCATTCTTCATCACCATGATAGCGTTGAAGCTTAAGCTGACCTCCTCGACTTTTCCTAGTGTGAATTATACAGAATTAATGGCTGCTTCTATATTCAGAACATTGATTCATCTCCTATCATCATTTACCATTAATGTTTTTTAATATAAAAAGAAAATTTTATATACCAAATAAAAAAAATATTACCTCTGGTCCTGAATATAAGAGCTAGTTGACTAATTTGAATACATTAAGAAATTTTATTAAGTTAGTTATTTGTAATAAATAGATATTATTTTTCTTAAAATACCCTTGCTAATCATGTATATTAACTAAAACTACCATTTGATGAAATATTCGATATGTGTAACTGTTATAAGAACTACTTTGAAGAAAAATGAATAAATATGAGAAACAAAGTAGATTAGAGTCTTATATTTAGGATCAAATTAAAAGTCAAACTAGATTTTATATTAAAAATCGAAAGTAATATTACAATACAAAGTGTATATAGGGACGAACATAAGAAGAAGATAAGTTCATAAATTGAGGTTTGATTAGTCTTTTATTCATCTCCAACTAAAGACAATTTGCCATTAATTCTTTGATGAGTCTTTTGAATTTGTATTTACATTACAGATAAAGGTGCCAGTGCCACAGCTTTTTGTGTTTGGTTGCATTTGGAGCTGCTATGGTCTTTCCCCCCAATGTTTTTTATTAACAATAAAATGAGCAAAATATTTTATTTAAGGTTATCATATTTTGACACTAATATTAAATTGTAAATTAACATAAATTGCGTGGTGAGTATCTGTAAGAGATAGTACGGGGAAAAAAAAACTTAAGTGGTAGGAAACCGAATTAAATTGATTTTGACTACCCGTATAAGGGAAGTGTGTCAAGGTATGAGTTGTAAGAAGGTGATAAAAGTGGAGCCTCTAAATGAGGCAGATAGTTGGGCTCTGTTTGATGAGCTTTTTGGGATTATTCAGTGAAGAACTATCTTCGGAAGTGAAAAACATTGCATAGAATATGGCACAAAAATGTGAGGGTTTGCCCCTAGCTATTGTTATAATCGCGACAAGCATGAAGGGGAAAACGGAGACTAGAGAATGGAGACATATGTTGGAATGTCTTGAAAACTTGGGCAATGGACAATATGAAATGGACAAATGGGTATTTCCAGTTTTGAGATCCAGCTATGATTTCTTAAATAACAAATTACAAAGATTCTTCTTGCATTGTGCCTTAAGTACCAGCAGAAATTTTTCTAATTACACTGTTGATCATTTGATAAGAAGGTTTGTTTATGAAAGCATTGACAAGACAGAGAAGTTGAGGGTGCAATATAATGAAGGTGTCAACATGTTTGGTAAATTAAAGAATCATAGCATGTTGGATTATGATGGTGAATGGATGATAAACAAATTTCTTAGACTCCTAGCTATTGGTATTGCAGACGACACTTGTAAAATTATGGGAAAAGCTCATAAGAATTTGACAGAAATACCAAGTGATGACCAATGAAAAGAAAATCTACAAAAACTTTTTCTGACGGGGAATAAGATACAAACAATTCCAGATGGCACATGTCCTAGGTGTTTTCAGCTTTCTACATTGCTTTTGAATCACAATGCAAAACTCAATTAACTACATCTCAGATGATTTCTTCAGCCACATGCCTACTCTTAAAACACTTGATTTGTCTGAGACTACGATCGAACATTTGCTTGAATCGGTGTCAAACTTAAAATGTCTCATTGCATTACTACTCTCAGGATGTACAAAATTGAGTTACATTCCTTCATTAATAAAATTGAAACGGTTAATGTCATTGGATCTGTGTTCTGCTGCTGTCACTGAAGCACCTGTTGGCTTGGAATCATTGGTCAATCTTAGATACCTGAATCTGTTCAATACAGATAAGCTGGTAATGTCAATATCGCTCATATCCAAATTGATCAACTTAGAGCATCTTGAGCTGGGTGGCCCCCTATACAAAACGGATGTGACAGTACAAGGCACACAAGGTTTGGAAAAGTTGGAACTTGTACTTGCCACCTTCTATGACATTAATGTCTTCGATAGCTTTGTAAGCATCCCAGCCAAAAGTCATGTACTCGAAAGTTCTCGTTTAACTTTGCAACATAAACGTATTTGTTTCGAAGATGACGTGATAATAACTCAAAGTTCTGCGAAGAAGATAATTTTTAGGGCTATGGATTTGAGAAACAGAGTAGTACTCGCAGGAGACATCAAGCAGTTGGGTATACAGAATTGCTACCACCGGACAGGTGCTAGATCCCTTTGCAGTGTTTTATCATATGGCCTCAACAGTAATCCACACCAAATTGAAGAGTTGGATGTTTTGTATTTTGCAAATGTGGATTGCTTGTGTTCTAGCACTTGCCCCTTTTGCTCCTCTTCCCAACTCGTTGGACGTCTACGCCTCCATGAAATGAAGGATTTGAAAAATTTGATGTCACCAATTGCTGATTCTTTGGATAAATCCACCCTATTTTCTCAACTCACAAATGTTGAAATTGCGCATTGCAACAGCATGGAGACTCTGATCGCCTTCGAGTTACTGGCACTCCTCCGAAACTTGCGCTACATTTTCGTTTCTTCTTGTGAGAAGATGAGAGAAATAGTTGGAGAAAACCATTCTGGAAAGTTGGATCTTTCTTCAATTGTTGACGTCATGGACTTTGTGCTACACAACTGTTCTCACCCTGCAATTGAACTTCCCATGTTGACATCTCTAACATTACTTCACATGCCAAAATTAGATGTCGTATACGAAGGCATCATGGTCTGCCCTTCTCTCCAGATGTTCTATGCTGATGACTGCGCGGAACTAGATCATCCTCGGATAGCGATCTCAAATAAGGCAGGTGACCTTTCGATGGGGGACACCTCAACTGGATACTATTGGTCCGACAGTGATTAATCAGGTCCATGTATTTATTCCTCCTCATGCTTCAGAATACTCTTCAAGAGCTTCTCCTCTTTAATGACAACAAGTAAAATTAATTTATAAGTGAGAGCCAAATAATCATATGTTCCTTTTTGTCTTGTTTATTTCTCTCTGTCTACTTGTGATCACCAACCTTGGACGCTTGTCAGTTTTTGAATGCCTACCAATAAAAATAACTAATGTTCCAATAATTTGAATTTTGTTTATTATAAAATACAACAAATATCATAAATAAATCTCAACAAAGGGAAGCCAATTTGTTGGATATATAACTTGATCATCTCTTTATGCCTTTTATTTGACTATTCAAAGTGTGCAGTACTACACAATTCAGGGTGTCAATCAGTGTGAATATACCGCATCTCCTAAGTTCCTAATGACATTGTCAATTATTCTGTCACTTGCAAGGAAGAGCAGCCAAGTTATTTGTAGCATGCATTTCAATTACAGGGCCCTATATTCGCAATTCTAATCCCTTTTTATCGGAAGAATGACGCCATAACTTATTCTATAAATATGTCTTAAATGTATTTATTTTTATATGCACCAGTGCAGGCATTACGTTGTTGTGTAATAAAAACGTTATTATATGTGTGTGTCAACTATAATAGAATGCCATAACTAATTCTTTTTTTTTTTTTTTGGTCCTGGTATAAAAAAGTTTAGATGTTGAGAGCACTTATAGATTCAAACTCATAATCTTGTGAGTGATAAGCTGATTCTTTATCATGATTTTAAAAATAATTTTATAATATATGAAATAAGTTTAAGAGAGGAGTTTTGTCTAAAGTATTTTTTATATGCTTTTATTTGGTACCAAACAGTCAATAAGTCATTACACCTCTGCCATGCGCTTCTGCTTTCCTCTTAAGCCCGAAGTAGCTAGCCCACCAGTGCCCTCTTCACAGCCCAAGCCCACATTAACACTAGGTTGTTTCATAATAGCTCACTAGTTCAATGACAGAGAGAATTACAATGAAGTCCTAAACAAGAAAAATAATTAAAAAACAAGTCTCAGAAGTTGTCATTCTTACTGTAGGACTTGTCATTATGGACTGTTAAAATTGTTATTTGGACCTTTTAGTAATTATTTCTCTTTTGTGGGACTTGATTATAATTTCCCCATAATAATATCACACTCAACTCACATTAATTAAAAAAAGAAGAGAAAATTATCATGGGGTTCTAAAGAAATTTAATTATTAAAAAAATTTAATGACAAATGATAAGTTTAAACTTATTGTCATTTTCTATTTTAAAATTTATCATTACATTCAGGGCAATTAAAGCTGATTGTAATTCTCGATAGGAAAGATATAAGCACTTTGGTTTCATAATATTGATTGATATTGTAATAGGCCTCACATGCAGATTGCAGGGAACACTGTAGGCTGTTTCGGCATTATCGAACGAAGCCGAATAAATTAAATAGACATTATTATTATTTATTATTTAGCGTAGAGAAGACGACATATTCAACAAGCAATTTATTTATTTAAGGTCAAAATTGGCCGACTATACAATTACATGGAAAGACAAGGATGTATAAAAAATGAAAAGAAAAATATAAAT